ACAGAGAGATGTGGTGGAGGTACTTAAAACCTCTAGAAAGACAGAATCCTAACTGTGCCCTATTATCAGCAATTTTGCCAGCTCGCACATTTTCTCTTTAGTACCTCTCCAAATCTCACAAAGATGCCACTGTCAGAAGCAGTTAGCACATTATCTCCTGCCTCATGAATTAAGCACTTAAAGAGAACATATCTTACCTTGGTGCTTTTAATTAAAGAAAAATCTTTGTGATATAAGGAACTGACATTTATTGAAAGCTTTCTATGTGCCATGTGCTCTTCAACATTCTAGTATCCTCAAAACAGCCTCACAAAGTGGGGTTTTATTTCCCCTATATTCCACTATGGAAACTAAAAATCAGAGATATTAATACATTACCTGTAATTTCACGGTTATTATAGGAAATGTTGGGCCAAGATTTTAAAAATACCACCCAGATTTGGTTGGCTGTGAAACCAAGCAGTTGTCACCATATGATACTAACTAGTAGACACCAACCACTCACTGCAATGCCATCTGACATTTTTCTGAGAGTTACAACCCCACAGTGACACCAACTCCAATGGGTGATTAATCTCATCATTCTAATTGTACAACTTGAGGAAATGAGGGATATAAAATGTGTTCTTTGGTTACCACGTCTTAATTTCTGATAACAAAGAATGCTTCAAATGAGAGAAGAGTGTGATAAAGTTTCCTCAGGCAAGACCTTAAAAGCAGGTCCATTAACAGGTCGTGATAAACTTTAAGAACTCCTGCAACTTCGAGCTGACTTCTACCACAGGGCAAGAGCTGAAAGGCTGGTTCTGGTTGCTAATTACACTCTCTCCCATTACTTTTTATGACTAAGAGACTTGTTTGATAGCCTTCAAAGATATACTGAAGCCATTACGAGATTATTAATGGCCCAGCCCTGGGTGTTCCAGACTCTCCTGCTGGGGTCCTGTCTTTGAGTCCCACTGGTATTGACTTAGTTTCTTAATCTCCTAATTAAAAGACAACTTCAAATAATGTCGCACAGCTGGAGGCTTCAGGAAGGGCCCCAGGGATAGACAGGCTTACCTGAGGAAAAAAGCGAGGAATGGAGTTTCTCTTTGTGAGTCAAAGTTCAGACTAACCTCTGATCAATGAAACAAAATGTCAAATACTACCATATATAACCTGTAGATCACAACTTGATTTTGTTTGCAAAGAATAGAAAAGAAATATTTGTCCTAAATACTTCTTTGAGTTCCTGACTCTTCATCACTCTGAGTTCCATCACTGGGTAATACTCAAGCTGGCAGACGGGCAATTGACAATCACTCCTTGGCAATGAGAAAATAGATTGTATCTAACTTGAAACTTCTATTCCCACCCTAATGATCTATTTTTAGTTAATGGTCACAGTGTTTAATGACCATTAATTAACGTGTTAGTTCAGTCTTGAAAATGGCAAATTTGAAGTGCCTGGGGATAGCCAGGGAGAAGTCTCCAGAAAGTACTTGGATATACACACGGGGAACTCAGGACTCCAGGGACCACTGATACAGGGGACAGAGTCATATTCATGGACATGGTTTTGGAAACAAATTATGTTCGTGGAAACACACAAAGTATTGGTTGGCCTCTTCCGCTGTAGCCTTATTAATCACTTCCACCATGTATCTGAGTGTTACTCTATTATTTACTGTACCAATACAGAAAACCCACACTTCTATAAAGCTTTACTCATGGTGTAGTTTTGTCTGCATTATTTTTTATCTTCTTTCTCTGCCAGGTGAACTCTTACTTACCCTCCAAAGACAGCTTAGACCACCTTCCTTTGTGAAGTGGTTCCCCAAATACCACTCTTAACCCAAACAGAACTGGCCCTTCCTTTCTCTGTTCCCATGTACAGCATGTGTTTCCATTTGTCACAATGCATTGTCCCTGTTGTGCGCTCTCACAGGGTCTGGCCCTTTAGCTTCTGCCCATATCTCTTTCTGTACAAGCAGGGGCTAGGCTGGGCTGACATCCATATACAGATGGGTTTCCATGTGCCAACTCCTTTCAGCAAAAACGAAAAGACCCTTATCATTCACCTCATGCAAGATTCACCCCACTCCTGTCCAGCACTTAGGAGAGGCCCAGCCAATGGTCACTCTTGAAAGAGTGAAATCCTCCTGGGAGTTTCTAGTGAAGACATATAAGTAAACTGTTACGTTGAGAACAGAAACGTCAACACAGGCACAGTCTAATTATTAACATTATTGTATTCAGATGTTTTGTCTTCTAATGTAGACTCTTTTTTTGAAGAACTCCGAAGATTGTCTTAAGTTTATTTTCACAGTTTTCTGTGTCTGAACCTTCTGCTAAGCTAGGATTTTCAGACAAATGAAGATGTTGAAGTCACTTCTCCTGGGGTATTTTGTTTTGTCTTGTTTTGTTTTGCTTGTAATCGATTTCCCTCCTACACGACTGCAACTTGTCAACCCTTAGGTTTATATCTACCTCACTGGCCCTCACTTGAGGGGCAGCCACATTTCAGGAATTATGTGTTTTCTATAATAGGGCAATTCTCTGTTATTCCTCCACAGTCAATATATTTGAGCTCATGAAACTCTTTTTGAAGTCATTTTGAGTCTCACATTTGGAAACAAGATACCTCTAAGGAAGGATAATCTAAACTGCAGCTCTTTGCATGAAACTCACTTAAAAACCTGTATCTTCCTATGTCCCTGGTTCTAGCAAAATAATAAGATAAAGAATATCTTTACAATTAGCTTGTTATTTTAGCATGAATCCTGAACTTAAGGATGTCTACCTTTTAGAGAGTTAATGAAGGAGGTGGTCATCCTATTTCCATCCTGCTCACACCCAGGGGCACTGTGTTCTGTACTAACTTTCACACTCACAAGGACTACTAACAGGCAGGGCTATGTCTAGGACTGGCATGGTGTGAAAATAAGGACGATGTGCTACAAGGGGAGTACTGAAGGATTGGGGATAGGTGGGAAAAGAACAATGTTAGGTGGAAGACTGCAGGGGACATGTTAATTACTGCTAAATATTTCAAGGGCTGTCATATTTCCAATTTCTCTTTGCTAAACTCTTGCCCATCCTGAAAGACCCAGCTTAAATGTTTTGACATTTGCTGGTAAAACCAGTTTCTTCCTTTGCCCCACCTACCCCACCATTTCTCAGCTCCTCCCCATGACTCATCTCCCCGGATGCTTCCCCAGGGTCCTGCTGCAGCTCTGCTTCCCACTCTCCGCAGCACACACTAGGTCAACACTTTCCAAACTGTGTGATCACAGAACGCTCTAAAAGTTACAGTGAGGAATAAAGTATAAAGACTGCACAGAGTGAACTGACAGGCCAATTGATCCCTGAAAGAAAGGTCAGAATTCAGTCCACACCCTTTTATAAACTTAGAAATAACTACAGTAAGTTAGATGCTCATATCTGGTACATTATCATGTTTCTTTCTAGATTTTGCTTTCATTGTAGCGCAACATAAAATTTCACTTCTCAAAGGTATAAAACAACAAAGAGAAAATAAAGCATAGACTTTTTGTTGTTGGTTGTTTTTTTTTTTTTAAAAATGAAGTTTCATCTTTTCTTTGAAGTACTCAGTCTTTTTACTTTTCTGATTTAGGCATCATCTAAGAACTACAAGACTCAGCTTTTGGTTAAAACTTCCATTTTTCAGCCAGAAATTCATAGAGAATAAGTTTATGTACTATTAATGTTTAATATGCAATATGAAATGAATAATATTATAAATATATGCTGAATTTATCTGACATAGAGCAGCAATCATTACAGATGAGATATATTAATGATGATAAATAATCTTTATGTTTACCACCCATTCATGCATCTGATGATCAGTTTCTGGCATTCTCAGTATGGCATGAATTCCATACAGGCACATTTTTGCATAACAATAACTATGTACAGTGTTTAGTGTTTTCTTACATATAATGCAGTTTATATTAAAAATTTAATAGAGTTATTATTATTGCTGTAGTATACTCATTTAACATCTTATGGAACCCAGGGTTCCCTAGAATATGGCTTGAAAAACATTACCCTAGAATATTCATATTCATTCACATGATTTTAGTCACCACGTTACAGTCCACTAATCAGACATCCTCCATGAAACTTTTCCTCCCTAATGCTATTGAACTGTACACAGTTTTGCATCTCCACAGTTCCTGGAAGTGCTCAGTATGTACCTGTGGAAGAAAACAATGGGAAGGAGAGAGGAAGAAGGGAACTTACTAATTCTTACAGCATTTTTGTAAATGTAATGTCTGTCATGAAAGCGATAAAAGGGAAAGTTCACAAAATCATTTAGCATAAAATTTCTTGTTCAAATCAAAAAGATGGATATCATTTAAATTATTAATATTAGGGGTCAGTAGCATTGAAACAGGCCTTTAAGTGAGGTTTTATAACCAGGAAATGTGCTTTTGTAAAGAAATAGACTCTGAAACTAAAATGCTGAAATAGTTATTAAAATAATTGCTACAATTATACATAGTATACACAAGCTTTTTTCCTACATTTAGAATTTTATAAATTCTCTATTATTTTCTGATTTTTCTTAATTTTGTCGTTTCATTTTTCCAGCTACCAAAATACCTAGTCTTTTCAGTTAAGGGAGGTGGGCTAGGGGGGTTGGTGGGATTTTATTAGGCCACATTTTATTGGTGCTCTCTTGTCAATTTTGATCATTATCTGATTATCTACTTTATGTCTGCCCACTTTGGGACCTAAACATAACCTACAGTTGCTCTCTGGATCACAGAGAATCTATGCTTTCTACCCTTGGATTTGATTATTATACATTAGAGCAGGTAAGTCATTTTGAAGTAACTACTGATAATTACCTCACTATTGTTCTGTGACTAATGTCACTTATCTCTTCTTAATGAGGGTAGATAATGCTGCTATTAGTGTAGTTTATGCCTGTTTTCAAGCAAACTTAGGTTTTTCTCTTTTCTTACTTCCTGCCTTGGCTCTGATAGTTTCAAAGAAAGCGTAGAGAAATCATCCTACTCCGACTGGCTGATAAACAACAGCGTGGCCGAGCTGGTTGCTTCAACAGGCCTCCCGGTGAACATCAGTGACGCCTACCAGGACCCGCGCTTCGATGCCGAGGTAAGAGGAGCCCTATGGTTGCAGCCATAGGTTCCGTTGTCACGCTGTTGACAGCTTGCTTGTTGAAGCAGAAAAGGGACATCATACAGATCGACAGCAGTCCCGAGTTTACTGGCAATTCTTTCCATTCTTCCCTTGTGATCTGATTTTTTGAACTGCCTACTGTTGACTGCCAAGTATTGCATTAACATCAGTAATAGCTGAACAAACCAAAAGGCTTTGCCATGCAGAAAAATCAATTTACTGTTACAAAGGCAACACATCTGGTTAGATGTCAGGAGGCAATGGTCATTTCCTACCCCAGATTATAGTGCTAAATTTGGTATGAATTGCTATTATTCTGCTCTTAGCTTTGGACCATAAAGAGAGTCAAATTCTGGGGAAGCAAAAATAATCAACAAATTGCACCACTGCTCTTTAAAAATTGGTTCGTAAAATATATGTAAAGGAGCTGTGTGCTGTGGTTAATGCCTGTAATGCTTGCACTTTGGGAGGCTGAGGCAGGAAGATCACTAGAGGTCAAGAGCTCAAGACCAGCCTGAGCAAGAGGAAGACCCTGTCTGTACAAAAATTATAGAAAAATCAACCCAGCATGGTGGCACACACCTGTAGTTCCAGCTACTCAGAAGGCTGAGGCAAGAGTGAGGCAAGAGGATCACTTGAGCCCAGGAGTTTGAGATTTCAGTGAACCAGTATGATGTCACTGCATTCCAGCCTGGGTGACAGAGTGACTATATATATATATATATATATATATATATATATATATATATGCACACACACACTCTATATGTGCATATATATATATATACACACACATTATATACACATTATATATAATATATATACATACACACTATATATATAGTATGTATGTGTGTGTAAAGGTATAAAGAACATAATGCAGTGTACACCTAGGTACCCACCACCAAGTTTAAGAAAAATAACATGATCATTACTTCTGAATCTTTGTATTAATCTTCTCTAACCTCATCTCCTTCATTTCCCCCACAGACGTACCCAGTATCCTGAATCTGAACTTATCATTCCTTTGATTTTCTATATAGTTTCATTCCACATGTTTGAATCCCTGTCAAATATATTGTTATATTTTGCATGTCTCTGAACATTACATACATTGAATTATACTGTGTGTATTCTTCTGTGGCTCACGTTTTTTCTCTCAACAGTATATTACTGGGTTGTATAAGCTTGTAATTCATTCATTTATTTTCATTGCTGCAAAATATTCTATTGTATGAATAAGCCTCACGTTATTTATCCGCTATAGTGTTAATGGACATTTTGATTCAGTATTTTACTGTCACATATATAACTGCAAGGACATTCTTGTACCTGTCTCTGAATGCTCAAATATAAGAGTTTTTCTAGAGTCTATATCTAGAAAAATGACGTGCTGGGTCATAAGCTATAAGCCTCTTTACCTTTAGCAAGGAATGAAAAATTCTTATTCAATCATTGTTCTTCTTTTCTTATGAAAAACAGCACATTTCATAAACACAATTGATGTATCAAGAATACTTCTTGCTAATATAATTTAGTGAGCTTGAATATATCATGTTTCTAACTACAGGCAGATTCTTACCACATCCCTTTCTGATTAGTGATACAGCCTTATCACATTTTCCTCCATGTATAGACCAGTCCAATAAGGCAGCCTGCCCTGCTGATTTATAAAAAGAACAATGTGGACTCTCAAGCAAAAAGGCAACAGTTATTTCTGTGGGCTTGGGCATAAAAATTTCATGCCCTGATCTAGTAGTTAGAAGCAATGATGTCTGAAGACAGTAAACTATGGTAGGTTAAGCATGAAATCACTTTCTTCCTTATGATAAAATAAAGCATGAACATAGACCATCATTATTTCTTGGCCCTCCACCCAAATGCTTTCAATCTACCATCCAGCTAATATCGGATTTTAAATGCAAATCTGAAGTTGCATCGTACCCTGATTTTAACACTTTCTCTTTGCATGGTACTCAAATTCAAAGTTACCTTATGTTTCCCTTCTCATACTGAGAGAAAAAATTTGAAAGTAGGTATGTCCTACAAATGTGTGTGTGTGTGTGTGTGTGTGTGTGTGTGTGTGTGTGTTACATATCATGCCAGGACTAGCAAAATTGTTTATCTGCTTAGACTTCCTCTCTCCTCAAGTATATTTTGCCTCAGGGACAGATGGCAACTGTTTGTGTTAATAATGAATGTAACATACTCCAGATTAAGCCACAGGGCTCCCAAGAAAAAGACTAAGAGTCTGGAACCTTCTGCCCACAAAGCCTGATGATGTAAGATGGCGTAGATCATAAAATAAAGACAACCATTGCAGGTAATATTTTTTCATTAGTGTGTTAAGTATTTTCCTCAAGACAAAAAAAAAATGCCATGACAAAATGAAATTGCTTCATCCTTTCCTCCACCACAAAAAAGTGCTTCTAGAATCACCCTAGAGACAGAGAGCACCTTTCAGAATTATGTTGTCTTCCTACAAAGGTATGAGTCCTTTCTTCTTCTTGAGTCTGATACATGAGTCCATATTTTATCCAAGCAATCATAACTGAATAGTTAGTTATCAATGGTAGAATATTATAATAGCAAACAATTTTTAAAATCCAGGATTAATTACTAATCGTTATCTCCACTGAGAAAGTGCACTGACTTTCCTGAATAGTTCGAGTTTGGTTAACAAGAATGATTATTTGCAGAGAAGTAGCATGGGAAATCCTTTTCAAAGCATCTCCTATTTTTCCTATAGACTTTCTCAGCCTAAGTCTACATAATGATTATAAATTTGCCAGAAATGCAGTTATCCTGAGCACCAGTATCTGTAAATATCCTAAATTTCTCAATGGCTCAGTGGATAATTCTGGCAACCTGAACTCTCTTTACTGAGCATGAAGAAGGACTCCAATTCGTCAGAAAATGTAACACCCTAGGATAGAATGCCCCAGAATGGATTGGCCCTATAATGGGATTTTATACTATAGATACATCAACATACATAAAATATTAGAGATTTCTTTAACTTACAGGTGAGGAAATAGAAACTTGGGAATGGAAGTGGTTTGCCAAAGGCCACACAGCTTCCTCAAGGCAGGGCCCAGGGAAGACTCTAGAACTTCTGCTTCCTAATTCACATCCCTCTGCCTGAGACGACCTCTGATGGGAGGATCATCAGCTGCTGAGGGGCTACCTGAGCAGTAGAGTCACTACTTCCTTCTTTCCTCTCTCTATACAGGCACATGAACTTATGGCCAGCATACCTACATTTTTGTCCTGTCTGCTTTGCTCACAAGCTGAGGGGTCTTGGGCATACTACTTAGTTTGTAATATGTGAAGTCCTATATAAATACTTTGTAAACCATGCAGGGGTGATCACCAGGTACTCCCTTATAGGAGCCAGATGGATGTAGACCTGGATCTTCTTAAGAGTGGCCAGGCAGTCAGGGACCAGGTTACCTAGACACATTGGAGATGATCGAATTTCAGTGGCTGAATATACTGCCCAAGCCCAAGCACCCACCAGTCCTTCAAACACACAGCTAAGAGCTGGTTGCATTTGTATATTTCAAACATAGCCCTACTGCCTACATTTAAAATTTTTATATCAATTAAAGCAACAGATAAACTCCAAAATCTCTGGGTTCGACATAGTAGGAGTTTAGTTTTTGCTCATGTTAAGCCCAAATAGGTGTTCCTGATCAGTGTCAGTGGGTTAGGGAGGTGTTCCCATTTTATGAATGAAATTGTTCAGCACCACCTTATGGATGACTTGCCCAGTGGACCATCTTGTGGATTCTTCAGATCACTAACTGCTGGTGCTAACCCAACACACCCACTTGTGTGCATTTGGAAGTTTCTTTTCCAATTTGACATAGCATGCAAAGCATATCAATTTGGGGATTCATAACACCAGTGGCTATTTTCTATCAATAAGAGATAATTTACTCTACCAAGCTTTGCTTCAGTTGTATAGTTAAAGTATGTAAGCAAACTAGACTTCCAATTTCCATGTCTTTTCTACCTTTTAATAACTTCTAAGAAGTCCTCAGAAACTCTACCCAAAGATAGGCAGTAAGAGAATTATCTTTATTTTCAAATCTCAGTTTTGAAATGATTGGTCTTCTTTTGATAGAAGCTACAAAGGGATATCTTTAATGTGATGTAAACCTCATGCCAGATGCTGTCAGGTGCCTGCTGAGAGGCTATGGGGCAAGTAATCATAGTTGTCCACCTGCTGGGTGTTCTCTTTGTGATGGTCTTAAATATTTAATGGAGTTCCCTCCTTGTGGTAAACAGAGCAGACTTAGCAGACAAGCCATAGTGATTACTTGCTTTCTGAATGCCTGTTTCAGTTGACTTTCAAAAGTGGCACCTGCTGGGCTTGATAGCATGTGGGGTTTGAGGCCAAACTCCTTGGTTTATGGGTGGAAAATTATGATAGAATGGTTATATAAGGTAGTCACAGAGCCAGAACTAAGTTTCTGAGCTTTAAATTCTACAACCCTATGAAAATCACTGTTTGTTCTGTTATGAGAGTCTATGATCCTTGAAAAGGATGTAAGAAATGAAAACTCATTATCAGGTCATTAAAAAAAAGAGAGAAGAAAAGGATATAAGACAGAAAAGACCTACTAAATATAACTGATCATATGTACTTACACGGACACAAGAAACACTTATGGTCATGAGTTATCATGTTTATTGGTTTTGTAGTTTTATCAGGCATTTGCTCCATGGGGAGGAGGTATCCATGTGTGTTTCTGAAGACACTGACAGGAATACTATGTATATTAATTGTCTATTGCAGCATAACAAATCACCAAAAATGCAGCCACTTAAGACAACATGCACTTATCATCTCCCAGTTTCTGTAGATTAGACAGAGGTCTGGGCATGCATGGCATGTCAGGGTTTTCTGCTCTAGGCTAAAATCATGCTGTTGGCAGAGAGAATTCTCATTTGCATCTTAGCATTCTTTT